CAACTCATCCGAAAGGTCAAGGGTGAATTATTAGCAACCTGCAGCACAGCCAGAAACACTGGCCCACCAAGGGCTCGCCCCATGCAGCCTCTGAGTGGTACCCTCATTGGATTCCTCCCTTTAGGTAATCCCCTGGAGTCTAAACTGTTTGCCCTTTGTTCTCCGCGCATCCTGTTGCGTTTTCAGGAAGGGCCACTCTGCTTTGGTCAGTCTTGTGCTCTGCTTCTCAGTGTGCTGGGGGGACTTTTGTTACGTTTAGTTTCTTAGGCTCTCACTGCCTCCAACTCTTGTAGAGAAAGGCGGTGTGCCTCACAGAAGGCCAGCTCGGTGACATGGACAATGCAGAATGAAATGAAACACGTGTCCGAGACGATTTATAAAAATGGCACATTTATTGCTACAGAACGGTCATGTACATGACTTCATCGAATAACTACAGATGAAAACAGGTAATGGCCTAGACCAAGCTGGGTTTGTTTTTTGTCTCGAAGGAGCTCCAGCACACGACCTGTTTGGACACATCTACAAATCAGAAATACACCAAAAACATGAAAAAATCGAGGCACTCAGCCACACATTGAAAACAAGGTGTAACTGTTTATCTTTTTTTTTGAAATGTTTTCCCTTTTTTTCTTTTTTTAACAATTTTTTTGTTTTAATGCTGCAGCTATGTGTACAGTCGCAAAAAAAATTCCCCACTGCGACCTACAACTAAAATTAAAAAAACAAAAACAAAAAAAAACGACAACAAAAAAGCTACCATACAGCTTTCATCTCAGTAACACATGGTAAAATAACATCTTTTAAATAGTAAAATAAAGTAACAAACTTTTACTCATCATGATTCCAAAAATCTACAAAGAAGAAATATTCAGAATCTGACATTTTGTGTGTGTGTGTGTGTGTGCATGTATGTAATAGTCATGGTATAAAAGGATTGCTCCTGCGAAAAATAAGCCAAATATATTTTTATTTTTAAATTTAGGGTTTTTTTTCCTACTAGGGTGTACTACAGTCTATTTTATAGCAAAAAGAGCACTAGACAAACAAAGCTTTATAACAAAAAGCCAGGCACTGATAACATGGTAAATCTCTGCTTTTTTTTCTTATCTTCACTTAATTGCATCACAAGTAACAAGAATGAAAAAGGCCACAGTTCATATATTTTCACCATTACAGATGTGTCTATAATACTTGAAATGGGTATGGCAGAACCGGCACGGCACAAGGATGAGCCCACGTCAAGTCCCGGGAGAAAGAGCGTGTCTCTAAAGAAAAACAAACAAAACCCAAAGCAAAACAAAGAGTGGCCCACAAGGGCCTGGTGCCCCATTGTGCTGGAATTCGTCTGATCCCATCTTCACTTGTTTGTTTCCAGTCTCAGCCAGCAGACTACATTTTTTTTTTTTTTGTGCTTGTTTATGTGGAATCGGTTTCTTTCCTGACTCAAGTTCACTTTTGGACACAGATCAGATTTTCTGCCTGTTGGATGCAAAGACGAAAGTCCTCTTAACCCCAAGACTCGGTTTGACTCTCCCGCCCCACCCCCACTCCTCCCCCCTACCACCCACCCATCAAAATAAAAACCACAAATCAAAATCAAGAGATCGGGAAAAGTGAAAAGAAAAAAAAAAGAAAACGACAACAGCAAAAAAAAAAAAAGAGGCATTGGAAGACTGAATCAGAACAAGTTGCATCACTGGGTGGACCGACAGTTTGTATAAACATTAGTGTTCCTTGCAGCTACACAGAAGACAAATGGTAAGAAAGTTCTAGATGAACAGATCCCTATTCTGCATATTCATAAATTACTTGAATGTGGAGGTGGATCAACTGCTTCAAGATGCTTTTCAAAGTCCAAGTGTCTTTAAGCAGATCCCCAACTTAAATCTCATCATCTCTAACGTAGTCTGGAATTGTTGTGCAGTACTTTATACCCTGGGTTTTCCTAAATCTCATTTGAACATCCAGCGCAGGATATCAAGGTCTTAGTTGGGCTTGATAATCACAAAACAAAGAGAGAAGCCCAAATCCCATACACCAGGAAGGCCACCTTCCCTTTCACCTTTTTAATAAGAACACAACCCAGTTAGTAAGGAGAGATGCGGACTGAGTTTCTCCAAGCCAAGAAGTCTGGTGCAGCTTTCTGGTGGCTGTTTAAAAAAAGATTTGTGTGTGCGTGTGTGTTTATCTCCAAAGGGAATTCAACAATAGATGTACTACATTCTGGAATAATGAATACATCAAAGCTGGTGAGTGAGTCATTACAGATTTTACTCTGAGAACAAAATGTAAAGCACCAATCTGAAAAATAATCAAATGGTGATTTTTTTTGCTTGGTTTACAGATTTGAAAACAAAAACAACCCCCCCGAAAAAACCCACCCCCCACAAAACCAAAAAAAAGTTCATTCAGTGCTATAAAGCACACCTTGATGATAACATGTATCAAAAGTGCCTTTCTTAAAATGCACATCAGTGCAGGGAGTGTTTCCAGTTCCCTAAAGAGTAAACACCTTGCTTTCTTCTGTATACTGATCCTGCACCATCAGCACATACCTGCATCCTACCTGGTATAGTTTCTAGCGATACCCGCGCCTTGGCAGACTGTACAAAACGAGTGCAGAATGAGCCACTAAAATGAAATCTCAAACACACTGAGGAAAGGAGGACACAAGTTTCCATCATTCAGGAGGGAGAAGAGGGAGGGGTGAACGCCATGTCCTCCAGACCCTGCTCCAGGCCCCCTAGTTCACACATTTCATAGGAACAAGCCCCCAGACGACTTCTCAGGAAGTCTGATTTCTGCTTCTCCTACCATTTTGAATCCACCTCCACATTTTAGGAACTTATCAACAAATCAAAGTATTTTAGTTTTTATCACTACTGAACATATTTACAGTTTTCAACACACACATAGCTAATGACAATGTTTATGGGTTTGCAAAAGATGACCACGTGGAAACTATCTTATTTGTTCTTACATTTTCAGAAATGAACATAAAATTCAGATTCTCGAAGCTCACTATTTAAATGCCTTATTCTTTTTAACCCACAGTTTAAAAAAAAACAAACAAAACAACAAAAGCAGATACAATGTATTAAAACACGTAACAAGAGTCTACATGTAAAAATATAACTTTTACATACACCATTTCAAAATAATGATACGTTTGTCTGCCATTTGTTGCATAAAATTTACAAACGTATTTCATTACTATATAACTGGCAAAACAGGAGAACAGATGGAACATTTAGACCATTTCGATGGATTTATGGCATTTTACTCAGTGCTGATAGGTGGAAAAACTACTTGAACAGGGAATTTTTTTTTCTTAATACATGCCAAGATTGTGTGGCTGTAAAAATAGAAACGAGTTAGAGACAAAAGGATGCTGACAAATACTTAACTAGGAGCACTATTTGTTTACTGCACTATACACCAAAGTCAATCATTATAAAGATTCACAACGGAAGTTGGTTCAGTTGTGCCCAGACGTCAAAGCTAGCTATCTGATGAGTTGCTGTGCCATAGCTTGATCTATGTGTCTATCAAATATGTTAAGTATAAACTTCATTCATACTGGCCAGAGAAATACTGCACTAGCCCCCTCCTCACAAAAGTGCAACTACACGCGTTAGGACTTATAAGGCTTGTTATAATGCTGCAGGACGATTGGAATATTGGCATTTTTCAAACGAGGGAGGAGGCAGTTAAGTCATCTACATTTTAGTGAACCCATTTTGAAGGAAAAACAAAATCAATAAAGCAACAAAATCAGTCAGCTCTGTCACACTACTTGCAATTTTCTCATTTGATGGTTTTTGAACTTTTTTTGTTTTTGTTTTTTATTTTATTTTTTTGTGTGGTTTTTTTTTTCCAAAAATCTGACCATGTATTCAGAAACGCCTCACTGCACACTACTTCGGCTACACATGTAGGTAACGCTTTAATCATCTTGTAAATCACAGCCACTTTGATTATGTCATGTTTCCGATGATATAAACATTGGAAGGCACAGTGGTAATAACATTGTAGCATTCTAACCTTGTACCTCTGAAAATCCCAGCATAGGGTCACATACGCAACATTACAATCAGACAGACTCCGTTTTTATTTTTTTGCCATGTCTTGGTAATGCTGCCAGTAATATCTACACACAATGTGACTTTAAGTCCTGTGTTCCCAAAAAGACTGGAGAAACAACTTTCTACTTATTTATGAATGAGAAGCAACATCAGGGTCAGCATTTCATCCTGCCTGCACTACCTCTCTGGAAGCAGGGTTGGCACTACAGGTTACGATAACGAACCAGGGGAAGGGACAGAAAGAAGACCAAAACCAAATCAACCCCCCACCCCGACCCCCCCACCCCCACCCCAAAGGGCAGAGAAAAAAATTCCATATGTACAGTAAAATCTTTTCTTTTAAAAAAGTTATTCAGTACTATTTTTTTACAGGAGAAAAAAGTCTGAAACAAATGAACAAAAGCTTACCATAGTCACTAAACTTTTCATATATATTTATATATATATTTATATATATATTTGTCATAGGTCTATAGGATCCATCTGTCCTTCCTACCCCCTAAGGAATGGCTAATGTCATCACTTCGTTGTCATCAGGACGTTTGCTGGTTTTGTTTCGCGGGCAGCCGCGCTTCCCCTTACGTGAGATCCAGTAATTCTAGAAACACTAGCTGACTTGAACACCAACAAGAACGTTCATGTCGTTTTCTTCAGAAGTACACTTTTTTTTCATTATTGCAAGTTTACAATTTTTTTTAAATTAAATATTTTTTTTCAGACTTACAAATTAATTATATTTTCTTTTATTATTATTTGTTTTTTCCAAAAGAAGTTTAGGCACAAATGCATGGTTCCACAGTGTGGAGAGATTGCCATTCTGTCTCTGGGCCGGGTCTCAGCCTGCACGCGCTGCTCTGCACATTCTGAATGATATGTTAAGGAGGGTCACCCCTCAAGTTGCACTTTTTTTTCCCCGTTCTTTTTCTTTTCTCTCTCTCTCTCTTTTTTTTGTGTGTGTTTTCTGTTTTCTGATAATTGGGAATGCTGAAACCTCTTGCGTCTGTGATTCATAACTACTCAGACTTGTCTTATATTACAAAAAAGGGGTTTAAGGAGAAGTGTTTATGTGGGTTTAAGATAATACAGCTGTTAAGGAAGTGGTCTCTTGTTTTAATGAAGCAATGTGGCAACTTGGACCTGAGGAGGGAAAGAGAAGAAAAGGAATTAATACATTTATAAAAGATAGTGGATTTTAGCGTGTGTGTGTGTGTGTGTGTGTGTGTGTATTTTAAAAAAATCTTTTTCCAGTGGGTGAAAGGAGATGGTTGGCGGTGTAAGACGTGAAAAAAAAATTAATAAATTATCAAGGGTTCATGAGGGAGGGAGGGGGAGGGCTGTTAACAAGGGCTCAAGTAGAAATGTTTTGAAAATGATGGCAACATACGTACAAATGTGCTTGACGCAATACATGGATGTATGGATTGTGTTGAGAGCTGTAAGAGCCCTCAATAAAATGATTTTTAAAAATAATCTATTTCCCAAGAAGGGGAGAGAGACCAGCTACTATGCGGATGGCAGTTTGGCATTCATGGGGGCTTTTGGAAGCGATGCAAAACGCACTTGCCCTTCACATCTGTCCCATGTGATTGGATGCGTCTCCCATCCCGGGGTGAGGACCGGCCAAGGAGAGCGGGGGTGGCTCCGAGGACACCTTTTCTTCCTCCCTTCTCTTCAGGCAGGCGGCTTTCGGATTCAGGTTCCTTTCTGTGGAGGGAGAACAGAGGCAGGCGGCGCTGGGTCAGTGCCACTCGTGCTGCTGGGCGCGCCCTGCCACCCAGGTGTCCACCTCCTGGGATGAAAGACCGCTTGGCCAGTGCACGGGGGTTGGGGTGGTGTTCTGTGAAGAACTGATCACACTGGAGCGTGTGGGGGGCACTGGTGCCAGCCGTGCCAAAGCACTCCTGGAGCTGGTACGGAGCATTCCCGGAGCTCCGACGACGACCAACAGTCCCTGCGGCTGTGGCCCGGCACTGCCCTCATTTCAAGAGGAAGGAGCCCGGTGCTGCCATGGGCACTCACTCAGCTGCAAAAGGGAAGGCCTGGCCCTCCACTACCATCAGGATGACAACCCAGACACCTGAGGGGGGCTCTACTCTGTGGTATGGGGTCGCGATGGGTTGAGGACCGGTTCCATGGCACGCAACCCTGATTGAAGCGAGGGCAACAGGGCTCCGGGCCAGGCTCCTGCTGGCACATCTGCACAGCTCCTCAACCTCCCACCCCCCCACCCGCACCCCCGCAGCCCTGCCTGATCTGGGGCGGGGGGCTGGGGGGAGGGCGGCAGCACTGACCTCGGACCTGCTGCTCCAGGCTGAGGATGACCGCCACGGCCTGGTGCAGGATCAGGAGCTTGGTCTGGGGCTTGTCGCTCTTGAGATGAAGCTGCACCATGCGGCCCAGCTCCTTGAAGGCCTCGTTGATGTCGCGGACCCGCAGGCGCTCGCGGGCGTTGTTGGCCATCCTCCGCTCCTTCTCGCGCTCCGCCTTCTGCTCCGGCGTGAGGTCTTCGTCGTCGTTATTGCTGCGAGACAAAAGGGGACGCGGCCTTTTCTAATGGCGTGGGGGAAACCGGGTGTCTGACATTGCTGTTGTTTGCGCTCCGACGTTGTTTCAGAGCAGTTTACCCTCTCAAGCCATGCCCTCAGCAGGCGTGGCTACCAAGCTGAACGGGCGGGGCTTGCTTCTAGAACGGCAGGTCTGTCCAAGCCCAAAAGGTGCTGGGTTCTCCTGAGCGTGAGCCAGGAGGGGTGATGAAGAGCTCCGAGTGTGCCTTTTCCTACGGGGGTGGGGGTGGGGGCAGGGGACACTTACTGATGAGGTCACACTGTGCAACCAGGCCTGATGGCGCTGTCAAGCCCGCCCCAACTTACTGTGCATAACCACAATTCAGAAAGATGGCCCCAGGGTGAATTTAAAAAAATAAAACAAAGCAAAAATCCCAACTGAAACCAGAGGAAAACAAGTAATTGGGAAAGACAGACAAACAAACAAACTTGCATATGTTCAACTGACATGTCAAAGTCAAATGTCAAACACAGTGATGGACAGAGGAGGGCTGCAAAGGCAGGACGGGACAGCAGTGGGGGAAGGATGGAGGGGTTTCCCCATGAACTCGTTTCAAAAGCTTGGTCCGTCCAGTGAGCCTGAGTCTTGTTTTGTCCATGTGTCCAACGAAGGGTTAGAAAAATTGAACACCTGACGGCCTTTAATGTCACGAATCTTTCTGATCTTAAAAGTTGAAGAAACTCACTTGGTGAAATGCAAAATCATAAGGGCGCACACTCTGACTATAGTTAACAAGTGACCGCCATACGCATTGTCTCAGGCCGGGTGCAGTGAAGAATGACTTGGCTCCTGGCAACGGCCTGGCTGGACCAGCAGACCCTGCCAAGGAGAGGTCACTCCTGCCCTCTGTGGAGTGTCATAGTGACAGGATAGATACTTTGAATGGAGGGCAACGAGGAGGAGCCATCCAGAAAAGCACACGAGACAAAGAAGAGAGCGTGGCATCAGGGTTTCAAATACTTCATGGGCCATTATGCAAACACCACAAAAGAGGAGGCACAGGAGATGACTTGCCTTCCAAAGGAAGAGCAGAACCAAGAACCGCCAAGGTGAATACGTCCACCTAACAAACGCAGGACCTTCTCTGGGTATAATGGATGCCAAAAATAAAGCATCACTGAAAAGTGACGTTCCCCCGCCCCCACCCCCACCCCATTATGGAAACTAACATGGAAGGGTCCCCCTGTCCGGACATTAACCCAGAGACCTGGGCTCCCGTGAAGCGGCAGCAAGGATATCTGCAGGACCCTGAAAATTAGCCTCCCTTAAGAAGCCATGACTGACGTGCTGGCAGAAGGAAGAGGATGGAGCACAGCATCTCAGAGGGGGAGGGCGCCTGGGAAGCCCATTCCACTATTTAACGAGGGCTGGCTTAAAATGTAGGGCGGTAAGTTTACTGTCGTGGAGGCCATTTCTGGGAGACTTCCAAATAGCAACAGGGACCACATCCCGAGAAACCTGATCATGGAAATAGGGACATGGTCCTCTTGGATGTGAGGTTCATGTTGAACCTAAACATGATGCATCTAAGTCAAGGGCTTGTGGTCCCCTCTCGCCATGGGTCAAATTGCTTACTACATGGGACTGTTGGTTAGTTGGGAGACAGCCATCTGAATGGAGCCAATCGGAAGGAAAAGGCCCTTTCTCTGTCATCTTCCTTGCTTCCTCTGATGACCCCTTCCCAACCCATGACCTTGTCGGGGCCAGAATCATTCATTCAAGATGGTCTTAAGTGCTGGGCCGCTGACCACCAGATCAGCAGTTCCAATCCACTAGTTTCTGCTCCCGTAAGAACGTACAGCCTGGGAAACCTGAAAGGGCAGGCTCTATCCTGTCCTGTAGGGTCACGGTGAGTCAGAATCGACTCGATGACAATGGGTTTGGGTTTTTTTTTTCTTCCTTTTGTACAGAAAGTGCAGTTGGTTTAACTTTCAGACAAAAAACTATAGGGAATTGAGGTCAAGAACATGGTTGCTGCAACATTCCTAACCCATCTTCTTACCAGATTAGAGTTCACATCCAGGAACTAGACTATGGTGCAGAGATGTCAGACATTTGCGAAAACGTAACCAAGGGGCAGAAAAAAACACATAGTAATTGACCGTGCTCTTAAAATCACAGTATGTTTGCGATAAAGCCTGGGATCTCGGCATTTTCTCATATTAGACATAAGAAGAAAAGGTTACTACAGTGTTCACATAGTTTGGGTTCGTCTTTACTTCGTCTATGATTGCTTTTCAGAAATAATTTAGAAAAGAACATTTTGGATCAAATTTGTAGAATAAGTTTTAAAGCCAGTTTGCACTCGAATTGATGTCAAATCATTATTCTGACGGTGTGGAATTCACCTCGGGGCCAAATTCAGAAATGCAAAGGCATTTTGGGCCTCACTAGAGTACAGGCATCTCAAGCGATACTTTCAGTACTTCTAGAACCGGCCTTTCACTGGCGTTGCCGCTGTGGGTTTACCTGCCAGGAAAAAACGGAGTCGTTTCTTCCCGCTCTGTTCGCTTCATCAAAGTCCAGTAAAGGAATTAAATGAAGCGACAGTATGATATACTGTTACCTAGATCTTGACCTAGTAATGGATTTGATATCCTTCTTGTCGTCGTCTAATTTCTTGTCCTCGGACGATTTCGTGTCCTGCAGGTTCTCGTCGCCCTCATCGTCGGACTTGATCTCAGAGCTGCCGGACGAGACGCTCTGTCCCTGGAGGCCTGGTGGCATGCCTAAGGAGGAAGAGGGGAACCCACGTGACCCTCAGGCACGGCCCGCCGCCCCAGCGCCCATGGCCCAGGCGGGCCGGCTGGCTCTCGCGTTCAGACTGGGGCCCTGCCAGCCTCCTGCCACTGGTGAAGTCTCACAAACGGCACCTGCGGAAACAAGTTTCCCCGCACTGGCTCTGAGGTTAAGTTCTATTTTGCAATCTTTTGGAGTAGATGGTAATTTCACTGTCTACAAAACATCAACTTAATTGCAATGAAAATCATAATCATGGAAATCACACACCTCAATGTTCTGATTAAGAACCCAAGTAAATATCAGCTATTATATTGAGTTTCTTCCATATGCAATGATTTAATAGAAAAATGTCCTTAAAATATAATTCCCAGGGAGTGCGCTAAATGGGTGCAGTCAAGCCTTCAATAGATACCCTAATGATATTCCGAAATTAGGCTTCTCTTATTCTCCAGGCGTAATCAGCCCTGACAAACGTACATATGGAAGGCAGGGAGCTGCGCACGGGCGGCCTTTCTGGTGCTCTTACAGCTCACCTTTCTGTTCAGGGCAGGTGAGAGCTTGACCCAACATGGCCAGGCGCTCTCAGGTACAAGGTCGGCCCTCTATTGGCAATCTGGGCCATCTAGAACCTTGTCACCCTAAAGGTGGCCGATGGGCCAGCAGCATTCTGAAGCACCTGGGAGCCTGAGAGAAATGGAGAAGGTTGGGTGCCCCTGCAGACCTACTGACTCAGACGCTCCTTTTAACCCTGAATTGGACACATCCATGCAATCTGAGGAAGACTGATCTATGAATCGTTCTATAAAAAGAGCTAACCAAGTCATGTCCCGTTTCAAATGAGCAGACATGTCCATATACACGAAGGAGCTTTAGAAAATTCTTGGGAAAATGGATCTTCCACTTTCAAAGCCCCTGCATATAATTAATATTTAGATGCTATAATGTTTCAAAAGTTACATATATTTTTAAAAGCTTCCATCTCATCCGGAGTGGTAGTGTTATTACTTTCAGGGTAAAGGTGAGGAGATGAGAAGGTGTGTTGGAAGTTTCTCCCAGTCCACTGGCCAACAAGTGTGCTGAGTCTGGAATTCCACTCCTGCCCCAGGAGAAGGCCTCGGAGGTCACAAAATCCATGGGGCCCCAGCAGTATGAAGTAGTCATGACTGGACTAGATGGCTCAAGAGCTAATGCCACCCAACCCAATTCCATGTTTTAAGTGCACCTATGTTTCCTTCAGCCCATTAAAATAAAAACAAAACAGTCTCCTTTCCATCTTATTCATTTGGAAATGCCATTTCTCTTCAGGCCACCACTAACCACATTAAAAGTCCAGAATGAGCAAGATGTGGAAACAGTGAAAATAAAATTTCCTCCCGTCGTCCGGGCGTCTTATGCCTGCTGAAATAGGACAAGGGCTTCCAAGGGGTTTTGAGGGAAACACAATTAGCAGGCCGAGTCCTAAGTATTTTTCCGTTGGCTTATCATCTCTGCGCCCAACTGTAGGCCTGGGTCTCTGCCAGTGCTTCCTGAGGGAGGCACGCCAAGGCAGCTTGGTATCCGACGCTGAAGTCACAAGCGCCACTCCAAGGCCAACCTACCTCGGTAAGGATCCTGGGGTGGGTTCAAGTCCGGGGAAGTGGCAGACTGGACAGGCAGCTGTGGAACCGGAACCTGGTTTGGCACAAGGGAATGGCTGCCTCTCAGGGCCACGCCATCTTCACGGTGGGCCCCCACCTGAAAGAGAGAGAGGAGCCACAGTGAGCAGGGACCAGAGAGAGGGGCCACTAGCTATTTTGAGGCAGCCAAGACCTGGTGAATGCAAAACAGTACTCCTGACTACATTTCACTAGAGGGCGCTGGAGGACCACGCATGCACCTATAGTAACACGCGAAACACTTCACGCGCAGCGAGATGCGGGGCTGCTGTACATTCGGTGACAAATATGGCAGAGGAGCTCAGGCAGGTAAAACGTCAAATTGTCTCCCAGGGTGCTGCAGTGGAGCGCACTGATTCGTACCCATCTGTCTTCTATCATGTCCGCCAACAGATCTGACAATTATCTTAATGCCCATATGCTTAATTGTGGGCTTCTCAATTCCCCCATTGCTATCGGAAATCCTACAGGAATTTCAATTTGGCATTCGACTTTCATTTCAGGGGATAAGATTCTCAGGCCTGCCATTTTTTTCCCCCTTCCATAATGCCAGCTAAGCCTCTGACAGCGGAAGCTACAGCAGTATGGGACGTAGCCCCTGCTCGGTACAAATATAATAAAATGTCACCTGGCTTTCCCAAACTGGCAGCCCATTCCAAATTAATGTTTACTGTATTTCATCAGCTGCAGAGCTCCAAATCCAAAGGGGGACCATGCCTGCCAATGGCACCACACCGGAAAATGTACCAATAAAGGTTTTATTAAACACACCAGTAATGCCATCATTGCCATGCAAGGATGTTTGGACATTTTTCCATCCTCCCTCCCCCATGAGTCTGACGCTGGAGACGCCACATTGTACACACTCTTTGTGCTTCCAAGATGAAAATGAGAGCGGACGGCATGAGTCCTTGGTTCGAACGAGATGCTGCTGAGGGCTTTATTAACTACTACTGCCGACGACGCGGGGGCCAAAGACGGCAAGTGGGGGGCAGGCACGATGGCAGCGATCGCCCACTCAGAAACATGTGCCCTAAAGCAAAGGCGGTGGGCGTTTCTAGACCCCGCGGGGCAGGCAAGGAGTGTGAGTTTTCCTCTCATCGCCAAGCTACAGAGTCTAGCTCTTCACTCGGCCGCTTGCTTTAAGTGAGCATTTACAGAAGGGGGTGGTGGTGTCCCCCTAACAAGATTTATTTCCCGAGTTTAACACGACTATGGATCCAGACGCTTCATCTCTCCAACCCCAAATCTGAAAACCACAAGGTAGAAGTTTTCACTCTTACCCCGAGCCCCATCTGAGAAAAGTCATTTTCCAAAGAATGAAACAACAAACTTCGGAACCAGACAACAATCGAAGCCCCACGAGTCCCACCAGTGAAGCAGCCCATGTTATTGTAGAGGTGGCATGTCACCCTTCTGTACTTGGAAACAAAAGAAAGCCACTGAAGGAAATCATGCAGGCTGGTGAGACGTGAGGGAGTGCAAGCACTGGGAAGCGTCTGCGGTCGTGTGGGCAGTCCTAACGGGCTGTGCCAGCCCTAGAGGGTGGCAGAGCCTGGTGGAATGTGCCTCATTCACTAAGTTTGGGGGAACCTGGCTCTCTAGCCTTTTATGGGGGAGGGGGAACATCACTGGTACAGAGACCCTGATGACCTCCCCCAAGGAGCTCATTGCTCCGTCTGCACACGGAATCTGTGCTCCGTCAATCCCACCCATGAGTCTCTGTGTCAGCTTCTGCGGCCCCTTCTCACACATTCCATCCAGTGGTCCTGCCTTGCTCCCACCCTCCCCTCCACCTGACGGGCACCTCCCCCGTGTCCTTCTCCCCCTTCTATCTTTGTTCTCCTGCTGTACAAATGAGTGATCGTTAGATTCTATTTGGGTGTTGGTGTGCCATTTCTCTATCTGTGCTTGTACAAACCTGATTCCTTCAATGATTATCTTTCAGTCTAAGGTGTCAAGCTGGAGGCATGGATTTTACAGGTAGCTTTGGATGCCTGTCAATCAACGACAGCCTCAATCATGACCATAGTGCTGATTCATACTTAATGCTAGTCTCCAGGGGCCCCACAGAAGGATTATTAGGAAGCAGCCACGAATTTGACCACAGAGAGGAGAACACCTTCACTTTTCCACTCATCCTATTAACACTCTTCACCCTATTACTGTCCTTCAGTCGTCTTCGTCGGCATCTGTGACCTCATTGAAAGTTAACACTGGGCTTCTCTCGTTAAGAGGTACTCAGTTACCAATACTGAAGCTCCTCTCCCTTTTACCTTTTTCTTTAAAATAAATTTCCAGATTGTATTGCGATTCGTTTCCAATTGAGAGAAAGAAACCCCCCAATTGATTGCTTTCCCGCCCCTCAATTTTTGAAAGACAGTAGAACACCACAAAGATTATGATACCGAGAGGGAGAAATAGCTAGGTTTTAATTCTCCCTGGTTCCTTTGTTAGCTGTATAACCATGGGTAAGTTACTCAGATGCAAAATGAAACAAATATATAGGTTACAGAAAACAAATTCCAGATTTATTGTAAGTAGTAGCAATAATCGGTAAAACAATTGATGCACAATTGGTATGGTACTCAATAAGGGAAATACTGCTTGTATTTTAACTGAAAATACTGGCATGCTATAAGAAGAAAGGTGATAGCTTGAGTTGTCTCCCCTTATGGTCGCCTTTGTACTTTGTTTCTATTATATTCACAGCTATTGGATTTTAAATCTTTCTTCCGTACAATAACACACCAAAAAAACACCTCAAGTGACATTATAAATATAGTTGAGAACACAGTTGGTGCAACTTTACTTCTGCTTGGATTTTAAGCACATATATTGCTTAACTTCGTCATTTTCTATATCATCCTAAATAATATCCATCATTTTTCATAAAAGAAGTTGGAGATATAGTTATCCTTGATGCTCTAAGGCAGTGGTTCTCAACCTGTGGGTCGTGAACCCTTTGGGGATCGAACGACCCTTTCACAGGGGTCGCCCGATTCCTAACAGTAGTAAAATGACAGTGATGAAGTAGCAACGAAAACAATTGTATGGTTGGGGAGGTCACCACAGGAGGAACAATCTTAAAAGGTCGCGGCATTAGGAAGGTTGAGAACCACTGCTTTAAGGCCTTACTTATTTATCATTTACATGTATCCCAGAACAAATGAATGAATGACCCAAGATGGGCCCGGATCTGTGTGGGAATGAGCCTGGCTCTCGGCGTTTGTGAAGCGGAACTCCAGTTTGAAGAATGAGCTTTCTTCTGCTCCTTTCCTTGGGCATAAACAGTATGTCCTAGTCTTAGTTACTTCTTTCAGAAGCCTTAGTTCTGGTCACAGGGGCCCAGGCCAGAGGGACAGGCTTGGTAGTCCAGAAGTAAACCCTCACATATAATATGGTCAATGGATTCTGGACAACAATGCTAATGTCCGTTTGGTGGGGGAAAGCAGAGTCTACTTAATAAATGGTTCTAGGGAAATTGGATTTCTACATGCAGAAGAACAAAAATGGGATCCCTGCGTTACACCACACACAGAAAACAACTTCAAAGTGGGTTACAGGCCTAAAGGTGCAAACTGAAAGTAGGAAACGCTCAGAAAAACAGGCAAGGGTAATAGCTGTCAGGGCTCAGCGTTCCACAATGGACTATTTATGATAAAAACAAAAGCACAAATAGTAAGTGACAAAATAAATAAGGGCTCATGGATGGCTAAGGCAACAAAGCAGAAAATAACAAGTGGTAGTGAAAAACTGGGGACACCTTATCCATTGCTGGTGGAAATGCAAAACGGTACAGCATCTGTGGAAAAGAGTGGGGCTCGTCCTCAGAAAACTACACTGGAACAACAAAAGGGTTTAACAATTCCACTCATTGCTATGCCCAAAGCCTTGAGAGAAGAGATTCAACCGGAGATCTGGACACCAACATTCGCTGGAGCAACATTCAGAACAACCAAGAGGTGGAAACAGCCTTCATGCGGACCCACGAATGAATGGATAAATGAAATATGGTACAAGCTAGTCTCAACAGGCTTCATTTCTCGCAGCCCCACAAAGCATTATTAGGAAGTAGCCACGGATTTGACCAAGAGACGAGACGCCTTCGTGTTTAGAATCATCCTAGCAACGCTCTGCAGTCTTCTTCGAAGGTATCGGGGACAGCTCTGAAAGTTAACATTGGTCTTCTCTCGTTAAGACGTACTTGGTTGTCAATACTGAAGCTCCTCGCCCTTTAAAAAGTTTCCCTTTCTTTTCAAACATTAAGAAGACATTGAACTCACAAGTCGAGCACAAAGAGACAAAGATGGCATGGTCTCAATTATATTGAGCACTTTAATCAAAGATGCCATAGAAGAATCTTGATCAAAAGGAAGAGAATTCTGTAAAGCGGAGCGTAGGTGAACCTCTGAACCCTTGACAAGGAAAATCTTTAAACCTTAAATAAAAACGATCCCCTGAAACTACCTCGAAACCAAGCAACCTTTTAACTTAATTTGTAAAAATAAATAAATAAAAACACGGCCTATCTCTAGCATTATGGTCATTTAAGCACTATCTATATGGGATCAAAGGGCAACAGATGCTGGAAAGATGAGCTAGGGCACAGTAGGAGGCAGAGAGTGTATGCTAATGAGGGAGTTACACCTCTCTGAAGGACCGTGGGACTGGCTGCCCAACGTGAAGAAAAGACCCCGCTGCCACTAAACTGCCCACGTGGAGACTGTTGAATTGGTGTCCATGTTGCTGCGTGTGGACTGAACAACCAGATAAAGACACAAAGAAGAGATGAGCTGCCAAGAGTCCCATATAATGATGCTGGAAACTGCATTCGTAAAGAATATTTAATGACTGGATGTCTTATAATGCAATAAACCAATCACGGTCCCTCTGGTTTGGAAACGGGAGAACAGGAGAGGAAGGGGAGGGCTCACACTGACCCAGCGTTAGAGTAAGTCATGACCAGAGACAAGAATGCTGTCAACAGGCAGGATGCTTCTCTCCCCACACAGGACACAGGCAGGCCTCGGTGACATCCCCTCCCCAGAACCAAACTCACTGCCATCGAGTCGGTGC